AGAGGGCAAGGCCAGTCTGGTCACAAAGTCAAGACCTTGCCTCAAAAAGTCAACCAATCAACAACAACAACAAAGCAGAAAAATATATATTATGACCCTACATATGTTTCATGTGTCTGAATGTTGCATTCATTGTTATGAATGTAATAATCTGAAAATATTCATTTCAAGCTATCTGTGATGGTGCCTACAGAGCTGCACTGACTAGCAGAATTTCATTTTATAGCCTGATCTTATTTCTCCTAATCAGCTTTTTTTTTTAAAAGATATTCTGTAAAAACCCGAGGTTTCTATCCCCAGGGCTGTTGAGATGGTTCAGCAGACTCAGGAACTTGCACACCACGCCGGACAACCTGAGGTCCATTTCCTGGGCTCACAGCAGGAGAGAGTCGACTCCTGCAAGTTATCCCTAACACAGGTGCTGTGGCCCCCTCCCCCAATGAAGAAGCAAATATTTAAAAAATTATTATTCTCATCTGTCTATTTCAAAATGATTTTAAACCCTAGAAAGAAAATAATACAGAATAGTTTATCAATACTCAAATAATCATTCTTTTGTTTTGGACATTACATCGATTCATAATAGATGGTTGTCAAAGGACATTTGGTGAACCTTCTGTGTATACATTCTTATGCATGGGTAGCTCTCTTGTAAGAAACATACTGACATACATTCCCACTTTGACTAATCAGTGTACTTGGACACATTTTCTTGATGATAACAGCAAAATACTCTAAAGGATAGTTCTACATATGCATAGATGGATTAGAAATCAATACTCTTTAACCCCTTTTTGCTCTGTCACTCAAACCCAGGACTTGTATATATTAGAAAAGTAAAATAATTATTTTTATTGTTTCATCTACAAAAGAATTTACAACTTGTAATGGATTGAATTTTAAAAGGAAATGAGAGAATAAATCTAATTTTTAAAGTATCTTTTTTACAAATTTTAAATGAATCATTGGTTTGAAACTTCAAACAATATGCCCATGAGAAGATATTTAGATATGAAGACCAATAGAAACAGGTGCATGCTTGTATTCTCAGTATCTCAGAGATAATGATCGGGATTACCTTTATCATAGAGAAATGCAAGGCTGACATAATGCTGGAAAATATAATGAAGTATATTAGTATACACTGAGATATCCCAGTCGATGAAGTGCTTGCTGAGCAAGCATGAAGACTTGTGTTCAGATCCCCAGCAGCACATAAAAGCCCACCGATAGCACATATAGTAGCCTTGGTACTGAGGGGAAAGAGGGAAGGCAGGTGGATTCCTGGAGCTCACTAGTCAGCCAGTCTAGCCAGTTGGTAGGCTCCAAGTTAAAGGAGAGATCCTGTTTCAAAAGTAACGCGAAACGCGACTTGAATAGAAATTTAAATATATATGTATATATATTGAAAATTTCTGTACAGAATATTATTAACAAAATTAAAAAGAAAAAACGTGATGGTACAGGCCTTCAATCCCGGGTTCTCACTTAGCAGATCTCTTGCTTTCAAGGTCAGTGTAGTCTACAAAGGCGTGTAGGCGAGGCAGGGCAACACAGTGAGTAAGACTTTGTCTCAAAAGCACAACAAACGGAATCCAATAGTATACAAAGAGCGTATATGAGTTAAAATAAATAAATAAACATGCCAATAGAAAAATAAAGATATGAGTTAGCAAGTTATAAAATGAGAAATACTGGTAATGAATAAATGACCAAATTTTCTTTTTTTGTCTGTCTAATTAGAAAATACCTTTAGAAAAATTATAAAGCCTGATTTTGGTGAAAGGATGGGGGGGGGGGCTCCTGGCTGTCTTTGTAGACAAGGCTGGTCTTGAACTCACAGAGATTCACCTGCCTGTGCTTCCTGAGTGCTGGGACTAAAGGTATGGGCCACTACCACTTGGCATATTTATCTACTTTTCAAGGCACAATTTGTGAATAGTGTTTGCCCAGTAAATATTCCTTAAACATGGTGATTTTGTAGATGCTTAAGGGGGGAAAGAAAGGACATAAATATTTGAACCAATTAATGAATCAAAAACCAAAAATATCCATTCTTTGAACAACAAATTTTACTTCTAGAATGTTGTTATAAGATTATAATGTAATTAGTTTGGCAGTGGTTGCACACATCTTTAATCCCAACACTCGGGAGAATTTCTGTGGGTTTGAGGCCAGCCTGATCGACAGGGCAAGTTCCAGGAGAGCCAAGGCTACAAAGAGAAACCCTGTCTCAAAAAACAACAAAACAAAACAAAAAAGATTGTAATTAAACAAGCGTGTGTTTGTTCAAAGATGTTATATCAAGTGGAACAAGTTAAGTTATTATTACTTTGTATTTACATATACTCCACGTAGAAATCCATTCATGTATTTCTACGTGGAGTATATGTAAATACAAAGTAATGATATTAAGCCTTTAAAAAGAAATTCTATCACCTGGAAGAATACAAATGAAATGAGATATTATGTTAAATAAAAATAAGTCAATCACAAATAATGTGTGATCCCAATTACATGGGCAAAGTCATAGAAAAGAGGAGAGTGGTGCTTACCAAGGAGTGGGAGGGTAGTGAGAAATAGGGAGTTACTAATTTATATGCATGAAGTTTCAGTCAAATGAATGAATCCAGGAAGCACTGTACATTGTGCGTCTAGTACTAATGCACTATCATCAACTTAATGCATTTTAATCTTTGAGAAAATAGAATTCATGTACTTTACCATAACTTCCCCCTTAGACTGATTGATTTATTTTTATAGTATATGTATGAATGTTTGCCTGTGTCGCTGTATGTGCTCCATGTGCATGCCCGGTGCCCTCTAAGGACGGAAGAGGACATAGAACATCTGGAATTGGAACTGCAGAGTTGTAAGATGCAGTACAGGTGCTGGGAATCAAACAAGTCGTCTGCAAGAAAGGCAAGCACTCTTCGCTGCACAGACATCTCTCTCATTCCATGCTTACAATAATTCCTATTAAGGGTGGTGCTAGGCCAGGCATGGTAGTGCATGCTTGTAATCTCACCTTTCGGGAGGTGAGGGCAGGAGGAGTAGGAATTTAAGGTCCTCATTGTCTACATATCAAGTGTTTAGTCCAACTGTGGCTATATAAAATCTGTCTAAAAGAAAAATGTATGACATTTGCTGGGCTTGGTAGCACATATCCTTAATCCTATCTAATCCCAGCAATTTAGAGTCTAAGGCAAAACAATTTTGCATTAGTTAAAACACAACAGACAAAGAATAGTCTGTCTAAAGTGCACATGTGCTCATATAACAGCAAACCTGTTTTCAATTTTTTCTGGTTTTATGCACTTTTTATTACTTAAATTTTTTTAAATAATCATGCTTTCTTTTCTTTCTATTTATTTATTTATATTTTTTTTGTGGCACTGAGGAGCCCACATAAGGTCTCTTGCATGCTCTATGCTCCTAGTCCCTCTAGTACAGCATTCTTTGGAATTTAAATGTGTGTGAATACTTAGTTGCTTGGCCATGCACCAAGTACTTCAATCTACAGGCACGGTGCCTTTGGGACAGATGATTATGAAAATTAATGGTGCAATAGAGTCCAGAAACTAAAGAGTTGTCAGAAAATAAGATGGATTACAAAAGATTCTGGGAAATGTGTGCCTTGTAGTTCATGCTGGCTCTGAAAAGAGATGAGCATTGCGCTTGTGTGCATGTCCTCGTACACACATCCTACACACGCACGAGGTGTGTGCTTGCTCGCAGTGCGCACTTTCGCTTAGGCAATCAAACAAGCTGTACATATGCTTTATCGCTTCCTCCAGGGTAAACCACATTTCCCTGCAGTGCTACCCTCAGGAGGTCAGGCTCAACCCATCTGCGAAGGGTTTCAGTGTCTGGCCGGCTCTGTCCTGTCCGCTTGCCTTGGCGATAGGTTATTTTGGGCAAAGGTGCAAAACAGGAAACTATGGCTGGCGTGCGCCCAGGAAATCCTAGAGGAGGGAATAAGGAGCTTCAGCACCACGGACACCGTCAACTCTGCTGAAAGTCCTTTCCGGGGGAGAACAGCCTGCACACAGAGCCCCTGCAGACCCACTCCCTCACCATCCCCGCCTAGTGTGAGACTGTCCTGGACCCCTTAATCCTCACTGGGAGGGGAAGTTGCTCCAGTTCCTAGCGCCTGATGACAGCCTGGGCAGTGACGTGGATCTGCGCAGCGCCCCCAGCTGCCCCAGTATGAGTGTCCTTCCTGTCATTTCTCGCGACCCTTCTTCTCCCTCTATGAACACAAATGAACCAAATGAACACACGCTGTGTAAAATTCTAACCCCAGAACCAATTCCGTCAAGAAAATCCGCATTTTCTTTTCCGTGACTGGATGAGGCGGAATTGACTTCCCTGAACCTCCACCTCTACACTCGGCCACGGCCGGGCCCTTCCTCCTCGTTCCTCTCTCGAAACAAGATTTCTACAATCACGAAAATCTCAGTCCATCTATACTGGAGTTTAAGACTCTTAGACACAGGAAAGTGATGGAAAATCTAAAATCTCAGTCAGACTCCTAAAACCACCCAGCAATTTTTGAAAGTTGCCTTTGAAACCGTTTCTATGACGCCACAAGCACTCGCCGAGATAACATGGGCTCCAGAGGGCCAGAGGAGGAACAACACCCCTGACCTTCATCATGCGGACTGGGGAAGGGCTCCCACAAGCAACGGTGTCAGGACCTGGGTGGGATGAGACCGCGGACCGATGCTGACTTTATCAAGCCGCTGTTCCCATTTTCCAGGACAGCAGTAGGGAGAAGTGGGCACTGGGTGGCCTTTCGGACGTCCCGCAGAGACGTGCGCCCCACGGAGATCTGTCAAGTAGGCGGGTGCTTGACGCCAGCCTGCCTTTCCCCAAGTGAGGCTCTCTACCGGTGGGGAGTTGGGCTCGCTGCGCGCCCTCTTCCCGGCGGGACCAGCCCGCAAGCAGGTAGAGTCCTGCACCGCCCGCTGCTGCCCACCCGCCACCGAGTCGGTTACCTGCAAGTCACGGCAAAGCGGATGCTCCCGGGGCTCTAGCGGACTCTCCTCGAGCGGCGCTCCCGGTTTGGCCTCCCTAGTCAGCTGAGGCCACCGCACGCTCGGTGGGGACCACTGCAGCCTGGACTGCCAGGGGCGACCAGCAAGGAAAGGGGCGCCAGACGCGGGCACTGCGCCTGCGCTCTTTGCCGCCCCAACCCCCAATCCCGGCCTCCGCAGGAGTGGAAACCCGCTGGAGACCACCAGGATGCCTGCCTAGACCCAGGGACTGGCCCTCCCCGAGAGGCGTGAGAGCCCCAGGCGATGGAAGCTGCCAACGCCCTTGGGGGTGAGGGGTGGGGGTGGGAAGACTTAGAAGCACTCCACTACCAGCCAGGGCGTCATAGTCTTCTGGGAAGGCACAGGGAGGCAGTCTCCATTCATTTCTACCTGGTTGTAAGAACTAAAATTGATTCCTTGATATTTAAAAGATGTCCAGCATCGGTAAACCTCAGGACAGAAGAGTTTGGGGGTATCCTTGAGTTCTGTCGGGCGTTTTACCCAGGATTCTGCAAGGTGGGGGAAAGTCTTGACAGTACAAATGTTTATATACCCCAAGCCTCAATCTAAATGAATACAATCCCTTAAAACCTGTGGATAAAAGATAAGCTTCTCCTGCCTGAATTTCTTCAGTCCATTCAGATCTCTTTCCATCCTTCTCTGTGAGTCAGGACTCGCCTTGATGGAGGAGGCGAACTGTCTGTCCTCTAGCTTTTGGGTAGCAGGGGCAGGTGTGAGACACATGGGAAACATAGCTATTCTGTTAACCATCTGTTCTTAGTCTGAAACTCAGAATGCTCTGATAGAGATTTGTGTTACACACTGGCTGTCTTCCTCCTTCAAGTCTGGAAGGCTCCAGAGGTTTTCTTTAAGTAACACACACACACAAGTGCGCACACGGTGCACAAACCTTTTAGTAACAACTTCTTTATTCAGGACATTATATATTCTCTTTATTCAGGATTTTAGTTCACTGAAGTTGGCAATACTATAAAAACTTGGGAGCCCAGTGGGTGGTGGTGATGTCAGCTCTTGGAAGTTGGAAACAGGAGGATATTGATCTCAAGGCCAGCCTCAGTTAGGTAGAAAGATTCTTGTTTCAAAAAAAAATCATAGAAAAAAAATCATAGGACTGAGAATTTAGTTCAGTGATAGAATGCTTGCCTGGCATGTAAAAAGCCTAGGGTTTAGTCCTAGCCTAAGTTCGTTGGTTGGTTAGTTAGTTCTAGAAGATGAAATGTCTCCTATAACCATCTTGATGTGTCTATTGTGTCTATCTATAGACAATATCTATAGTCCCATAGCCTATGGATGGCAACTATAATTTGACGAGCCCCAAGAAAAGAATCTGACCCCTTGTTAGCAATGAGTTCACAAAAGGGCTGAGAACCACCCAAGTATCAACTCAGAAGAAATTTGTGCTACTCAGAGAGGGAGATTTCTCTCTCCTCCCACAGTAGTGTTCCTGTTCTCCCAGCTGCAGCAGGCTGCTTCTGAAGGGGTCAAGATTCTCAGGACACGCCTAAATTCCTGGGACAGCATCTGATAAAAGTGCCTGTGAAGAAGCTGCTGAGTGAGGCAGCTGTCGATGGAGAGTCTCCGGCTGTTTCTGGAGAAAAACCAAACAGTGCTTCTGAAGAAGACAAAAAGGGCTTTGGTCATTAAATTACCACTAGCACAACAGAGCAGCTTGTCCTCAATCCAGGATCTAACCATTTATTTCTCAGGCTTGTGAAAACAAAAAGCTTTCCTGGTTTGGTTCCTCCTCTCCCCACCTCAGAAAAACAAAACAAAAAAGATCACTAAAACAACCCAAGGCAAAATCATAGCGAAAGTTACTCAAAGGGACTCCCTTCCAGGCATAATTATCTGCAAATAGAATTAATGTCCAAGTAAACACTTACTTGTTCAGAATACAAATGAGACCAGAACAAAACAATCTCCCATCTTTCACCCTTTCTAAAAGGAGGGGTCATTTGCTGTCCAAACAGGCATTAATTCTGCTGATCTAGGTAGGGAACAGAGAAACAAAAGGAACCTTGACAGCAGTCTCTGAGGTTTGGCAAAGATTTTGTTTCCCTTTAAAGAAGAAATGGGGAGAGGAAGAGAGCCAAGAATGGGGGTGGGGAGAGGCTAGACTTTAAGAGTGAAGTCTTCCTAGGAGTTTTGAGAGTGACATTAGGATTTAGCACAGCTGTTATTCCAAGTGACGGAGATACTGAGAGATAGGAAAAGAGGATTTCTAGACATTTTTGCTATGTGTAATAAATGAAATTCTTTTGTGCTTTAATCCTGAGTCTTTCCTTGCAACTGTCAAAAATTCATACTAAGCAGACTTTAAGGAAAGGAATGCACTTGGTATAAGAACTAGAAAGTCTATGGATGGGTACCAACAGGGAGCTCTGGACTCAGGACTGCAGACGGTATCATAAGAAATGCTATCCCCTTTCCTCTGTCTGTACTTGAGTAGTTCTTTCTTCCTTCATTTCCCTCTTTCCCTAGTACCTAGTTTCATTTCTGTTACTGTGGAAGAATACCCCGACAGGCGTGACTTAGAAGGAAGAGAGAGACAGAGAAAGAGCAGGTTAGAGTTCACTATGACTAGGTCAAGAGCCTAGAGCAGCTAGCAACATCAGATTCACAGTCAAGTTAGGTTTCTCCATTTTTAGATGGTCCAAGGCCCAAACCAAGGAATGAATGATGCCACCCATTTGAACATTGGATGGTCCCACATCAACTAGGGCAATCAAGACAAATACAATCCAACTTTTTCTGGATAATCCCTCAGTGAGACTCTTTTTCTCAGGTAATTCTAGGTTGTGTCAGGCTGACAAAAGTAACCAACAAAGGCTGGTGAGATGGCTCATCTATTAAAGGCTAGGCCACAACCAAAAGGACAAAACTGAATCATCATACGTAGTGTTCAACTATATCATCCTTTAGCTAATTTTCCAGGGCAAACAATGCACTTATTTTCCAATAACCCTTTGGAGTCGTTTCTCACCAACACATTCAGAATCATCATGGTCAATCATATAATTTTGGAGAAGAAGTACTGGAGAGGGGCCATTCAACAAATAAGAAAAAGTTCTAGTCCCATAAGGAGCAATATAGTTATAGGCAAGAGAAAAAAGAAAGTGCTCACTCTAGATTTCTGTCAAAGAAACTCGAGATTCATATCACATTGTTTATAGGCAACCTTGTGTAGCCCAGACTGGTGTGGAACTCATTGTGAAGTCAAGGATGGACTTGAACTCTTCATCCTTATGCCTTTACTTCTCTAGTGCTAGGAATACAGTGTGTACCACCACATCCTAATTATGTTTTACTTGGAATCAAAAGCAGGGCTTCAGGCACTCTTCAGCAGCGTTCTACCAACTGCACTTTATCCACAGCCCACTTTTATTTATTTGCTTGTTTTTTTGTAAAAAAAAAAAAAAAAAGCTAGCATTTCCTTTGAAAATGACATCATACTAACATGGTGAAATGTCCTTTTCAAATTTTTATTTTGTCTTATGTTGACTGAAGTTCTGTCCAGCCCAATCTCCAAACCATTTAATCCCAAAAGAAATCACACAGAGGTCTACATTAATCATAAACTGATTGGCCCACTAGCTCAGGCTTCTTATTAACTCTTATAACTTATATTAGCCCATTATTCTCATCTATGTTAGCCATGTGGCTCAGTACCTTTTTCAGCGGGGCAGTCCATCTTGCTTTTTCTGTGGCTCGGGTCACAACTGCTGAGGAATGGGCTTCCTTCTTCCCAGAATTCTCCTGTTCTCCTAGACCTGTCTCTACTTCCTGTCTGGTTGTCCCCCCTATACTTCCTGCCTAGGTACTGGCCAATCAGCATTTATTTAAAACATAACTGACAGAATACAGACAATAGTCCCACACCACTGTTACTCTTTTATTGAGCATGTGTATACATGTTTGTGTGTGTGTGTGCTTATGTGCATACATGTGGAAGTCAGAGGTTAACATCTGCTGTCTTTCTTCCTCAGTAAGTCTTCACCTTATTTTTTTGAGGTCTCTCACTGAACCTGGAGCTCTCTGATTCAACTAGATTGATGGGTCATCAAGTCCTAGAGATGGCCCCGTTTCAGCCTCCTTAGCTCTGGAATTACAAGGACACAAGGACACATTGCCCCATGCCCAGCTTTTTATGTGGAATGTTTGTGATCTGAACTCAGGTCCCCATTCTTGTGTGACAAGAACTTTACTGAGCTAATGCCCTAACCCTAATATGGTCTTTAAGAAAGACAAAAAAGAAAAAGAAAAAAGAAAAAGGCTTGCTATTTTATACAAAAAAACATGTTTGATATCTATTGTGGCTCATTATCAGTTCTCAAGAATGGTTCTTTTCTGAGTCATGATCATATACAGTTTAGATTCGGGATACTCAGGTACTTGTTTACTACTATGGAAATGATGTGGGAGTGTCATATATCAATCTGTTGATTTCATTGGTTAAGCAATAAAGAAACTGCTTGGCCCTGATAGGTTAAAACATAGGTGGGAGGAATAAACAGAACAGAATGCTGGGAGGAAGAGGAAGTGAGCTCAGAGACTCCATAGCTCCTCTCAGAGACACACGCAATGAAGCTCCGACCCAGGATGGACGTAGGCTAGAATCTTCCCGGTAAGCGCACCTTGGGGTGCTTACACACATTATTAGAAATGGGCTAGTCCAGGTGCGAGAGTTAGCCAAGAAGAGGCTAAAGTTAATGGACCAAGCAGTATTTAAATGAATACAGTTTGTGTGTTGTTATTTTGAGCATAAGCTAGCAGGCGGCCGGGGTGCTGGGGACGCAGCCCCTCTGCTCCTGTTCCAACATGGAAATACTAATTTCCTTCATCAGCATTATTGCCTTTCCTTTTGCAATTATCAAAGTTCAGTAATGTTTGGGATCTTCAGCTTGAGATCCCATTACACGTTCAGGTCTCACGCCTCCCATTCCAAACCCCACCCTCAGTGTGCCATGTCACTGACCCAACCCTGGAGCAGCCCTCTTCAAACTCAGCCTCTGAGAAAGCTCACCAAATGTCACCCTTCCTTGGGGCTGCTCAAAACCATGCCTATAGGCTACTTAAGATTTGGTAGCCATAATTGCCATGTGATATCTTTCACCTCACATCAGATTTTTTATTGAAAAGATTATAATAATGGCCTGCAGTGTGCGTAGCAACAGTTTAGTCAACAAAGGACTGCACATGCAAATATCAACAAATAGCACAACTCAGTGA